TCCCCGCCTCCCTAACCTGTCCTTCCTCCCACCTATCCCCTCCTCTCACCTCAAGCCTCACCCCCATCTCCTACCTACTAACCTCATCCCACCCCCTTGACCTGTCTGTCCTCCCTGGACTGACCTATCACCTCCCTACCTCCCCACCTACACTCACCTTTACTGGCTCCATCCCCGCCTCTTTGACCTGTCTGTCTCCTCTCCACCTATCTTCTCCTTTATCCATCTTCTATCCACCTCCCCCTCTCTCCCTATTTATTTCGGAACCCCCTTCCCCTCCCCCATTTCTGAAGAAGGGTCTAGGCCCGAAACGTCAGCCTTCCTGCTCCTCTGATGCTGCTTGGCCTGCTGTTGTTGTCTCAGATTCTCCAGCATCTGCGGTTCCTACTATCTCAGAAATAACACTGAGCCACGTATGGAGATGTTTGGTCAGGTGATCAAAAGCTTGGCCCAAGAAGTAGGTTTTAAGGAGTGTCTTAAAGGACCCATGTGAAATAGCATAGCAGAGAGGTGTGGGCAGGGAGTCCCAGAATTTAGGGCCTAAGCAACTGATGACATGACCACTAATGGTGGGGCAGTTAAAATGGGGGGTGCTGAACCCAGATGAGGTAAATTATCTTGGAGCATTTTGTCTGGAGAATATTATAGAGTTAGGGAGGGCAAGGCTACGGAAGTATTTGCAAACTTTTAAAATCAATTTGTCTTGACCAGGAGTCGATGTTGGTAGCAGAGATGGTTAGTAGGTGAACGTGACTTGGTACAAGTTAAGTCGTGCACTTAGAATTACTAGAGGATGCAGTTCTGTCTTTCCTAATCAACTTGAGGTTTATCTACATCAAATATCTAGAGAATTTAACTTTTTAATTATTACCTAAATATAATTCTATCCCCTCTCTTCCAGCTCACCTGCACCAAGGATTGTTTATAATGGGAAGCGAAACAATGGACCTCGCTCTCCGACAAACACTGCCCCACAGGAGATTTATACTCCAGCACATGAAGAAAATGTCAGATTTATACATGAAGGTACATTGAGATTGATGTAAAGAAAAAGGACATCCCAAAGTGCTTTACAACCAATAAAGTACTTTTGATGTGTAGTTGCTGTTGTAATGTAGGAAACACAGCAGCCAATATGCACATAGATACCCACAAACAACAATAATAATATCATCTGATTGTTTGTGTTGTTGATTGAAGGATACATTTTCCTAAAATAATGCAGTGGGATCTACTATCCTCCCCTGTGAGAGTGAAGAGTGGTCTCATTTTAATGCCTTATTTGAAAGATGGCACCTCCAAAATATAACAGTCCCTCAGTACTGCCACTGGAGTGTTAACTTTGATATTTGCAGTTTAGATTTGGGGTGAGTCTGGAGCTCTCAACCTCCTGAATCAGACACTAGTGTATTACTAACCACAGATCCTGGTACTAAATATTCATATTATTACCAATGAGATGATCTGTATCTTGATATGAAGTTGTGATTTTGTTTTCCTTGCTCCTCCCACCCTTTTTTACCTACGTGCTGCTCCTTGGCAACATACCGCAAAATCACAGCTTAGCTCAACCTTACCAATATCTCTACCAATTCTTCCACTGGTTTGGATGAGCAGAAATTCCCTCTAATTAATTAGTAGGAAGATCAAAGCCACTGCCTTCAGTCTTCACTATAAACTCTGAACCCTGGCTGCCAACTCCATTGCTTTTTTCCCCCTGGCAACAGCCTAAGGTTGAACTAGGTTTTTTTTGCAGCTTTGGTGATGTATTTGATCCTGAAGTGGACACCTAACCACATTTGCATCACAACTAAGCTTGCTTATTTCCACCTCTTCAGACTTGTTCCTACTTCAGCTCACCCGCTGAAACCCTTATCCATTCCTTAGTTACCTCTAGACTTGACTATTGCAAAGCTGTCCTGGCTGGTCTCCAGCATTCTACCCTGCATTAAGCTGAGGTCACCCAAAACTATGTTGTCCATTTCTTAACTCTCACCAAGCCCTGTTAACCTGTCACCCTGTACTTGTTGCCCACGTTGGCTTCTGGTTAGGCTTCTGAGGTGCTGGTGTTGGACTGGGGTGGACAAAGTCAGAAGTTATGCAACACCAGGTTATAGTCCAATGGGTTTATTTAAAATCACAAGCCTGCGGAGAGCTGCTCCTTCGTCGACTACACTTGACGAAGGAGGAGTGCTCCAAAAGCTAGTGATTTCAATAAACCTGTTGGACTATAACCTGGCGTCATTGACTTCTGACTCCCTAATTTTGGCCTCTTGAACCCCCTGAATTTTAACTGCTCCACCATGGGTGGCAGTGCCTTTACTTGATAAGTCCCTAAACTCTGAATTTACCTCCTTAAAGCTCTTCACCTCTCTACCTCTCTTTCCTTTTTTTAAGATGCTCCTTACAATTTCCCTATTTTCTGTAGCTTTTGGCCAATTGCCCTGATAGGCTCAGTGTCAAGTTTTGCCTTGGGCCATTTTATTATGTTAAAGGCGTATATTTCGCACCACAAATTGTTACCATATCCTGGCTTTCTTTAAGCTTCAAAAGGAAAGTACCCTGTGCATTAATCTCAATTGTCAAATATCATAAGATGTTTCAAAACTTGACATTATTAATCTACCAAGAGGGTGCCAGTGACTCTCCATGTTTGTTGTAGTGTAGTTGCAGTTTTGATGTTGGATGTACAGGGGGTTCTGATATAATGCGATAGTTCTGTTTTCGTGCGATCTCCCATCATAAGAAAATTGCACATAAGAAAAAGGCACAACATTTAAACTAATGGGGCCGGAATCGTGTTATAGTCAACACTGGTAAGGAGAGTTTGTGTCTAAGTTCTTCAATCGCATTAAAGTGACTTTGCGTTGAAGAAACACGTGTTGCAGCAGAACCAACTGTATGGTATAATTTGGTTCCTGCCCTGGATCATGTTCTTTTTAATTCCTTCTAAGTCCATGAGCAACAAAATCTGAGTTTAACTTTACCATAGTAACTAGCACTTAGATTATTAACCCATGTGAATGCTTAAGTTTTCTACTTAAAAACAAAATTTGGGCTTCTGATGTGACTTATGTGAGAAATAGTATCCCTGTCTTGGCATGAGGTGGTGTTAAACTGCAGATTGTTGCACCTCAACAAAAAATTTCAAAGTCATAAAACCATTATTTTCAAAAAGCAGCTTTGAACAGTAGTTCCCACTGGAGATAAAAAGGAGAGCAGGGTGTGTCTACGATTATCCCACAAGAGGGGAAAATGAAGGTTGGATCTAATTATTAAGGATGTAGTAGTTGCCTGCGCTTCCCTTCTCTCAGCCATTGTGTAGACTAGTTAAAAGGACTGGAAGGGAGATTTCCTTGTTATCTTCTAATCTAAATATTTTAGTACGCAAATCTCTGGGTAAAGTGGACAGCCTTGTTCACTTGAGTATCATAAGTATAAGTGAATAGTTCAACACTAGATATTATTTTATTAAGGTATATATTTTGTCTGATATGTTTTCGAATTTGTCCTCAGCCATCTGGTAATGACACTAGTTCCATGCTGTCAAATTGGAGGCGTTTAGGTTCCAGCCAATACTGACATACACATCATTTTCCCAATGGGGTACGGTGTGCTTTTGTTCTTGGATATTTAGATTGAAAAATTAAAGGCATTTGAGTAAAATGTGAGCTTTTCATTTTTAATAGAGAGAATTAATATTAATTTATTGCTGAGATTCTGCGTTGGTAGAATCCTTCCTTTAAAATCATGCTGTGGTTTCATCAACAATTGACAATAAGAGCTAACAGCTGGTACCTGTGCTTTAATCTGCTAATGTCTTCTTTTGTTCCATGCTTAACACAAAGCATTTGGCAACTTGCATATGAAATCATGAAACATATCAAGTTATGTTTTGATGTATTAATGCTTAAAAAAGAGTTTCACATACAGAGCTCTGTTTTTATCTAGGGAATTCAAACAAAATATGCTTTGTGACACTTATTTGAATTATCTACTATTCATCAGTTGTTGTGTTCCAAGGGGTCTGCTTGGACTTTGAATAACTCCTGAGCTTGTAATGCACTGTCACAGCTGTATAATCTTACAGATAACCTTACGAAGTTACATTGTCTGTACTCGTCTAAAGTCCTTAGGGCTTTGATCACTTGTAAGCTTTGATGCTTTCTTGATAAGGCATCTTGTGCCAACACAGTTAATGCATTTTAGCTTGACAGACGTACAGCTCCATTTCTCTTAGTTTGTGTGTACACTGCTATTGAGTAAAGATTAGTTAATAATAGACTTGAAGCACGGAGTTGGGCCCCTGCTTCCCAACAGTGGGAATGTTTCACTTTGTGTAGCAGCTGGCAGTTATGGCTTCTCAGTTCATATCATAGGGTTTCAGTGATTACCCAGTACAGAAAGTTAAACTTTGCCAATGGGGCAGCTTTCCTGTTTGAAATTGTAGACACAGTATTGTGGTGTTGCAGGATCCAACTGGACTGCTCCATTAAAATGAAAGCCCTACATTCGTGGTTTTCATAATTTGCATCTTGAATATCTTTTTAGCTAGGGTATTCTTTTAATGACATCTTTGGCTTGTAACCATAGGATGAAGTGAGGCCACAAATCATTTTTCACTCAGATTTGAGACAAAAATAGTTGTAAAAGCTGGTCTGTGGTTAGATCTCTATTTAGAAAAAAAATCACTGTTCTTGTAGTTAGTAATGTTTAAATCTACAAAGCTAGTGTGGTTAGATAGTGAGTGTAGAAAGGCAAAAAATCAATACTTTTTGGTGCTTGTAAAATTATTTTGGAAAACGTGTTGCTGTGAATTTAACCTGAAAGCTCTTGTTCATCTTTTTAACACTGGGAAAATCAGGCTGAAGGGAGGGAGGAGGGAGGGTGGACAAAGTTTTTACCAAAGGCTGTTTTCTGTCTTACTCTAGCCTGATATCTGATTCTGGTTTGCAGCTTGGCAGTGTGTGGAACAGGAACTGAGGAGCCAGATGTCAGGAAACGAGCGAGGCCCTGTCCAGTATGTAGAGAAGAATCCAAATCCAAATCTGAACAGTGAGTAATGGATGGTTGAGAGGGCTGTGGGAGGTCAGAGGGTAAATCTGACCATGTAATTTGGAAGTCTTATTTTTGCAAAAGGAATTTTGAGATAAACCAGTTTTCAGAAAGTGTTTAATACCTCCCCTTTCTAGCGTAATAAGTTTTAAAGAAGGTGTTTCAGTAATACTTTGTAACACGGTGCCCCAAAAATTGTTATGAAAATTAATTCCAAGCCAGGGATCATAAATATAAGACAGGCACTGATAAATTCAGTAAGAAGTTCTGAATAAATTTCTTTGCCCAAAGCCATAAGGAGCAGCTGAGGTGAACTGTGTAAATAGGTTTTGAGGGAAAGCTGGAAAAACATACAAAGTATCAAGAAATAAAAAGACAATCTTACACAGATGAAATAAAGTGAAAGAAGGCTCTTGTGGGGCATAAACACTTTGGGATTAATTGGGCAGAATGCCCTGTTTCTGTATTATTAATACTCTGCCATGTAAGTGCCTGGATTCCGGATTCATACTCCTTGTCTTGGATTCTTTTGGAGAACGGGTAATCTACCTTGGCTCTTCACAATTACCCAAGTTTCTGTTAGTGGATATAGAGAAAATGTTTTCTCTTGCCAATGATATAAGATAGTCACCAAGCAATCTAATAGAATTCAAAAGGAACTTCTTTATCCAAAAAGTGGTGACAATGTGGAGCTCACATCCATAGGAAGTGGTTGATGTAAATAGTGTAGATGGTTTGAGGGGAGTTCAGACAAGGGAGAAAAGAATAGCAGGTTACAATGGTGGAAGATGGGATGAGGTTCAAATGGACCGCAAACACCAGCATGGACTGGTTGGGCTGAATGGCCTATTTCTGTGCTGCACATCCAATGTGAAGCCTTCTTGAACACTGCAGCCCAGTGTAGTAAAAGACTGCTATTGGCTTCAAGCTGTGCTGTTTCTTCTATTAACAGATACTTGTTTAAATACACATGACTGAAATTTATTTGAGAGAAACTTTGGCCCCATGTAAAACTCTCAGATCCAATTCAGTGTGGAGCTGGAGGATCACAGCAGGTCAGGCAGCATCTGAGGAGCAGGAGAGCTGATGTTTTGGGTCGACACTCTTGGTTGAGACTGGCTTCAACCTGAAACATAGACTGTCCTGCTCCTCTGCTGCCTGACCTGCTATGTCCGTCCAGCTCCACACTGTGTTGTCTCTGACTCCGGCATCTGCAGTTCTTGCTACCTCTGAGTGACTTAAAACTCTCCGATTATAAACTATAATCACTATCTTCAATGTTCAGCAATCCTTGTGTATTAGCTACATGGGGTGGAGTTGGATCCAAGATAACACATTTGGCAATGACATTTGAATTGAGTTTTGTTTTGTGCCAGACTTGCTTGACAAAGACGTTGTTGAGCAACCAACTTGGAAACTCGGGGACGAATGAAATTAATCATCTTTGGCTTCAGACAGACCTGCAAACAAATTCTCTGAAGGGTGGAGTGGCCCTAGCTGTAAGCTCTTACTCTTCTGCTAAGGAGCTGTGCATTTGCGCTAGCTCAACCTAGCACTATGTCCACATGTTGATTGGTAGACAGTGGATTTCTCAAAAATTTGGTTTGGAGCCTTTTAAGATGGCTTCTAAAATCAAAAGGAAGAATTGTGGATTGAACTTGGAAATAAAGACTATGCTGGAATTATACTGCAGCTCACTTAGCTTCTGAGAGTAAGGGCAGGTTATGATGAGCAGTGCACATCTGAAAGATTATATAATCAGTTCCAGCTATTTTTACAGTCATTTGGTGACCCACATAGTTCTAACAGTTTTCTGTTTTATTTCTAGAAGTATCACACCCGTGTATCTTAAAGAAACATAGATTATGAAATCTTATTTTTCAGGTTTTCTGAACTGTCTAGTCCATCAAAGGGTCAACTTGTTGCTGCACCTTTTGCTATTTTACTTGCAAATAATTCTACTGCTGTGTAGGTAGGTTGCAGTGGAATTATAGCCCTGACAGTGTGCAATTGGATTCTGTTAGTATTGTTCAAAATCCATGTTCTCACGATAACAAGCTCCTTGTTTTTGTTGTGCAATAAGCCTTTATATTTACAAATGGTATTCAGCACTGTGACCTCACACTTGCACTGCTTTTAGTTTCGTTCCCCAAATTAGTGAATACTTGGTTTTCGACTGCTGCTATCCAGCCATTTAATAAAAACAAAGCAGTTTTTAAAATAGCACTGTAGGCGATTATCATTCAATTGGTGTATTGCTGTAGGACCTTATATTCAGATCCAATTTCATTTTTCCCCTTGATTAGATATAGAGCAGAGGGAAGATGAGTCTAACAGTAGGTAATCTGAATTCTTCCTTTGGCCATCTTCAAATGCGCATTTCGAGCAATCTGCAAGACGGCAGAGATGATGAAGAAGACATGACCCTTGAAAGATCTGAATTAGAAACTAAAAGCCTTAGCCCCAAATCTTCCAATATGGGGAGAGATCTCTGACTCAACTTGCATCACTGTTGCACCTCAGGACCCAGAAGAAATCACGTCATGCGCACATTCATGTTATTTTACATGGGAAATTTAAGCTTCTAATTTCAGGCTTTATGCTGATCAGATTCAGGCTGTTTGTACTGTGTGTAAGCTGGATTTTGTACACATCTATCGAAAGCTTTCCCAAGCAGCTGGTAAAGCCTGTTCAGGAGCAAATGAGCTGGAGTGTCAAAGCATTCCAGCACCCGCAGCAACATTCAGCCCTGTACCAGCAATTGTCACCACCCCGGGCCCCCACTTTAAACACTGCTTGCTAGCCTCTGCAGTAACCCCACAACACACACAGCTCATTCTCCTCCACTTCCCCGCCAACCACCCCACCCTCCCCCTACCATCACCACAATCCTCTCCTTAACTCATTTGCTGGAATCCCTGACTGCTGTCTGGCTGATGGCAAAAGTGTCAACATGTTTTGGGGGGGTGGGGGGAGCAGGTTGAGGTTTTGGGGGGGTGGGTGGGGTTCGTGTGGGGAGCAGGTTGAGGGATTGAGTTGGGGAGAGACTGACATTGTCAGGGGCTTTTGGAACAAAGGGCAGTGAACACTGCTGGACAGGTTGAGTGAGGGAACTCATCAATGTCCTTGCTGGGGATGGATATGGTTTGGGGAACAAACACTAGGGGGTTAAGCAAGGGAGAAGAAAACTGCTGGGGGATAATGGAGGGGTGATGAATGCTTTTGGACTGGAGTGGACAAGGTCAAAGAACACACGACACCAGGTTATAGTCCAACAGGTTTATTTGAAAACACAAGCTTTCGGAGTCTCGCTTCTTCTTCAGGTGTCAGTGGGAGAGGTGGCATCAGACACAGAATTTATAAGCAAAAGATCAAAGGGTCATAGAACTAATGTGAATGTGTTGAACAAACCTAAGGTAGCCATAGGCTGTAGTGTAGTGGTATTGTCACTGGACTAATAATCCAAAGGTTCAGGTAATGTTCTGGGGACCCAGATAATGTTCTGGATGCACAGGTTTGAATCCTACCATGGTAGGTGGCAACATTTCAAGTTTTTTTTTAAAGATCTGGAATTAAAAGTCCAATGATGGCTGATGAACCATTGTCATTTCTTGTAATAATCCATCTCCTTCACTAATGTTCCTTATTGAAGGAAATCTGCCATTTTTACCTGTCTAGCCCAAGCATGACTTCAGCCCCTCAGCAATCTGGTTGACTGTTCACTATTCTCTAAATTACCTAGCAAACCAGTAAAACATCTAACGAAAGAATGAAACTGAAGAGACCACCTGTCTCTGACCTCGGCAAAGGCATCGTATGCCTTGTCAACCCTGCAATGTCTTCCTTACTAACATATTGGGGGTGGGGAGAAATGGGAAAGCTGTCTGAGTATTTGAGCAACAGCCTAATGTGGTCTCTGAAGGCTTATTTCATGAATATGGCTGTGGCTGTATCCCAGACGATGATACCACCATTCCACTGACAGGGCTGTCCCAGCAAAGTGGCCGAACAATGGTATACAGTTGGGAAGGATTGTACTCCAACGCAATCTACAATTCATGGCCTGCATATCCCCAGTCTCCCCTTACCAGCAAGTCAGGGGATCAATCCTGGCACAATGAAGAGTGCAGGATGGCATGCTAGGAACAGCACCAGGCATACCTAAAAACTGCAGTGACAATTTGTATGCCAAACAGCATAAGCAGCAAGTGATAGACAGAGCTAAGGGATTCCACACTCAGTAATCTAATCTAAGCACTGCAATCCTGCTACATCCAATGTTCAATGATAGTGAACATATAAACTGTTCGCTGGAGGAAAAGACTGCACAAAAATCCACATCCTCAATGATGTAGAAAGCTCAGCATATCAGTGCAAAAGACTAGGCTGAAGAAGTCCCAGTATTCTTCAACCAGCAGTGCCAAGTAGATAATCCAAAATGGCATCCTTCAGAGACCCCCAGCATCGCAGATGCCAGCCTTCAGCCAATTTGATTCAGTCTATGGAATATCGAGAAAATGCGGATTGCACTGGATACTGCAAAGCCTATGGGCCCTGACGACCTCCTGACAATGGTACTGAAGACTTGTGCTTCAGAACTTGCCCCTCCCCTAGCCAAACTGTTCTAACACAATTACAACACTGGCATCTACTTGACAACATAAAAAATTGCCTGAGTATATCCTATACATAAAAAGCAGAACGAATCCAACCAGGCTAATTACCGACCCATTGGCCTCGATCATCAGTAAAGCAATGGAAGTTGTCATCAGCAGGTGCTAACAAGCAGCACTTGAGGGGCAATAATCAACTTAGTGACACTCAGTTTGGGGTCTGCCAGGGGCACTTGGCTCCTGACCTCATTACTGCTTCGGTTCTAGCATGGACAAAAGAGCTCAACTCCAGAGGTGGTTGAGAGTGCCTGCCCTGGGCTTCAAGGCTGTATTTGACCGAGTGAGACATCAAGGAGCCCCAGCAAAATTGAAGTCATTGGGAATCGCAGAGAAAACTCTCTGCCGTTTGGAGTCACACCTACCACAAATGGTTGTTGTTTTTTTGAAGTTCATCAGCTCCAGGACATGTCTGCAGGAGTTCCTCAGGGTAGTGTCCTAAGCCCAACCATTTTCAGCTGCTTCATCAATGACCTTCCCTCCATCATAAGGTCAGAAGTGGGGTTGTTCATTGATGAGGTCATATTTTCGGTACCTCAGATACTGAAGCGATCCATGTCCAAATGCAGCAAGACTTGGAAAATATCCAGGCTTGGGCTGAAAAGTGGCGAGTAACATTTGGACCACGCAAGTATCACTCAGTGACGTCTCCAATAAGAGAAAGTGTAATAATCATCTGTTGATATTCAGTACCATTAATATTGCTGAACCCTTTGCTATCAGCGTTCTGTGGGTTACTCCTGACCAGAAACTAACTGGACTAGCCATATAAATACTGCTGCTACAAAAGCAGGTCAGAGGTTAGGAATCTTGCAGTGACTAACTCACCATCTGTCCCCCCAACTCAACACCCCCACGCCCACCCCAAAGCCTGTCCATCATCACAAGACAGTAGTGTGATGGAGTCCTCCCCAGTTGCCTGGATGAGTAGAACTCCAAAAACACTCAAGAGGCTTGACAACATCAGGGCAAAGTGGTCTGCTTGATAGGTGCCACATCCACAATATGCACTTCCTCCACCATCAGTGCAAGGTAGCAGCATTGTGGGCCATCTACAGGATGCACTGCATCGACATGCTAAAGCTCCTTAGATAGTACCTTCCAAACCTACAGCAACTGCTATTTAGAAGGACAAAGGGCTGCAGATACATCCTAGGGAAAAGACAACTAACATTAACTCTATCTATATCTCTCCTTATTTTATAAACTTCTATCAGGTTGCCTCTCAACCTCTACACTCCAGTGAAAAATGTCCCAGCCTATCCAGCCTTTCTTTATAACTCAAACCTTCCATACCTGGGAATATCCTGGTAAATCTCTTCTGAACCCTGTCCAGCTTGATAATAGCCTTCCCATAACTTGGAAATATATTGCTGTTCCTTCAGTGTTGCTGGGTCAAAATGCCAGAACTCCACCCCCCCACCCGCCACACACAAGAGCAGTGTGGCTGTACTTACACACAATGGACTGCAGTGATTCAAGGAGTCAGCTGACCACCTCAAGGGCATCCAGGGGTGGGCAGTGAACACTGACCCAGCCAATGAAGCCCACATTCCCATAGATGGTTTTTAAAACGGGTCTAAAAGCTTGTCTCCTGATTTTGTCCCGGCACCAGAAGCTTCAAATGGTTGAACAGGCTGATTGAAATGCAGCTTAAATGTTGGACATACCCTTTCCAATACTGACCTGTAGTTCTGGGCCATTATTTAGGGTTTATGTTGCAGTATTCGTGATGCAAATGTCTGTAGCTGTGTATCTGACCGCGTAACTACTCCCTTCCCATTATGAAGATTCACTGGGTTAGTGCACTGGAAATCGAGCCAAACTAATCCTGGAGCTGTGACAAATGTGAAAAAAAATTAACCAAACTATCCAAAGTCCCCAGACTGACAAACTCAGATTAAATGAAAACACTCAGCAGTTTTCAGGTGTCTTGGGAAATATATATTGGCCTTTGGGAGTGCAACATAGTTTTACAGAAATGATACCTGGACTTTAGGGGTTAATTTATGAGGAAAGATTATACAAATTTGGCCTTTATCTCTAGAACTTAAGGTTAAGGGGTGATCTGATTGAAGTCTTCCAAGATAATAACAGGAACATGCATGGTAGGTAAAGATAAACTATTTCCACTTGTTGGGGATTCTAGAACTAGGGAGCATAGTCTGAGAATTATAGCCAGACTGTTCAGGAGTGTTGTTAGGAAGCACTTCTACACACAAAGGGTGGTAGATGTTTGGAATGCTCTTCCACAAACAGCAGTGGATGCTGGATCAGTTGTCAGTTTTAAATCTGAGATAGATTTTTATTAAGCAAAGATACTAAGGGATATGGGCCAAAGGTAGGGATATGGAGTTAGGAATCAGATCAGCCATGATCTCATTGAATGATAGAACAGACTCAAGTGGCTGAATGGCCTACTCCTGTTCCTATATTCCCATGCATTTTTAATCATTCTGCTGAGTTAAGTTATGGTACATCTCTACAGAAGCTGGGACTTGAACCCAGGCTCTATGACCCAAAGATAAAAGTCAGAAGTCACACGACACCAGGTTATAGTCTGACAAGTTTGTTTTTGAAATCCCAAGCTTATGGACTGCTGCTCCTTCGTCATGTGGCACTTCACCTGACGAAGGGGTGAGACTCTTAAAAACTTATGATTTCAAATAAACCTGTTGGACTATAACCTTTATGTTGTGTGACTTCTGACTTTGTCCACCCCAGTCCAACACCGGCACCTTCACATTGTGACCCAAAGGTAGGGGGCTGCCATTTTTGGTATTCCCAGACAGTCTCTCATCCATGTACTAACCAGGCCCCAGTCTCCTTTGTGTCTGAGATCAAACAAGATCAGGTGTTTTCAGGCCAGTATGGCCATTTCTATGTTCCTGTATGTTCCTATGTACTAAAAAAAAAAATTTTATTATGAGCAAATTGTCTTCAATCAATGGCAGTTAGGAGATTTGAATTGCTCACTTATAACTCTCTATAACTTAACTTTCACCCGTTTAAATTCCCCTCTCTCACATACAGATGAACTCACAAGGACAGCCAAGATAGAAATATTAAGGGTGGGAAAAAATCAGGGAAAACGGTTTGACAGCACCAGGCTAGACCACATAATCTGTTTCTCTTCCTTTCAATTCTTTTCAGCTGTTTGCTGATGAGTTGAGGTTGTTTGTACACCAGTGTTTTCTTTCATTTATTGGATAAGGATTTTTCCTTTCGCTGTCTTTAAAGGCTTGTCATTCATCCCTCAACAGGGGAATTGTGAAGAAGGTTGAGTGGAAGATAGCTGGCTGTTACTGGAAACTTTTTGTAGCTGCACATGGGGGTGAAAGAGTTTTTTTTGATGCTTCCTGTTTGCGGGCTAAGTGGTTCTCACTGCGCTAACCTCACACAAGGCACATGGTCAGGAGTCAATCAGAACTCTGTTGTCAAGCACTTGTCCCTCAGTTTAGACCCATCAGCTCAGTGGTGTCTGGTTCTACTCTCACTGTTCCAGTAAAACGACAACATGACATGCAACTCCCGTTGCGCCCCTGTAAACATGATTGTTAAAAGTGCAGCTATCTCTTTGCAGTTGTCTTGGTTTAAAGCAATGCCTTCTTTTATAGCCCACAAAGGAATTAAAAAGATGTGGTCTTTACACCATACACACGCTGCTACTATTGGTTAGGCACTAAGTCAATATATTTGCTTTTCAGATTTCACACCCGTGGACTTGAGTGATTTAAAGAAGAGGAGCATGTCAGATGCTAAGAAGTCTTAAGGGTTCTGCATTGGCTGGATTTGATCTTTCCTTCAACATCCTCAGGAGCTTCCTTTTGAAGTTTGTTTTCTTTGATCTCTGGCTTGGAGAGGAATCTGGAGCCTACCCACTTTCTTCCACGAGAATGGATGTCTTGTCAGTTACCTTTAACTGACCTGAGGATGCATGCAGTTGGCATGTGTTTTAAAAAAGACTTGAGTTTGTAGATGGTGCTAATTTTAACTGATTTATTTGTCATCTGTTTCTTCTCCATTTCTGTCAAGAGCTGTGCTCCATTTGACATGTTACGGCCACAATTCAGACTCCATGGTGCCCTGAGGAGTACGAGATACCCTCAGGGGGGCATTCTTTAGAAACCCTTCACACCGGGCACCGATTATAAGTTTTCTCCATCATTTGTTTGGCATTGACAGGCAGGCTGGATGTTCAGAAAGATTGTGATTGGGGTGGGGGCTGGAGACTGTGGGACAGAGGAAGTAGCTTATTGAGTAAAGCAGAAACCTCTGTGACTAAGATTTGTTTGTTTAAAAATGCTGCTCCCATAGCTAGAGGTTGAGAATGGATTTGGTGAAACATTCTGTTCGACTTGCACGGAATGGAGCCAGTACTAATGTGGGGAACGCATAGCCCGTGTTAAATGGCTGGGCTTAAAGCAGTGAACTGTGTGATGGGATCATAAATTGTTTTCTGCAGACAGACTATAAGTTTGAGTCATTTTAGGTTTGTATTCCAGAGGTTGCTTTCAAATGAGTCTTTAACTATTTTTAAAATGAAAAGTGGGGGGTGGGGTGGGGTGGGGTGGGGGCAGGGGGGGTATGGGGGGGGGGGGGGGGGGTTTAAGAATAATTTTGTTTTATTTTTTAAATTTTGTATTTCTACATTCCTGTTTTCTCCACAGTATATGATAAACATTGTCAGGCTGGGTGAGTGAGAATGCAGGCTGGTCAGCAGATTTTATTGTCTGATCATTGCTGCCTCCCACTGTAGCCTGGTGCTTTATGCTCTTCAGTCATAAAGTGGCAGACCTCATACTGAATACCACCGGGGAATTTGAGTATCCATTATCGTGGGGACCATGAATCTATCACTCTTTCCGATGGGCAGTTGGCACTTGACTGGTTAGAAACCCAGGAGTCCAGTGGGTGACTCTCACTCTTACGGTGCAAGTCTTTTTGCCAGAATCTAAGCTTCCAAATTAGATTTGTCCAAGCCTTTTCTTCACCAGCTGCATCCCGGGCATGAGAGGATTAAGCATTGTAACCCTCCCTGTGAGACCCTGAATTGTTACTGACATTGGCAACTTGTCTAATTGATGGAAAAGTATGTATCAGAGTCTGTACTCCATTACAGTATGGACACATCACACTTGAGAGATAGAAGGATTGTATTCATGAGAGGAACTGTACAATTTCATAACTTCCCAATGCATAAGTGAGGAAGTGATGTAAATAAAACTTGACTTCATTTATGAGTCCAGTGTTTGTGTC